GTGGACAAACGACCCCAGAAGGAGCAAGACATGCCCCCCCCCCGAGGTACTACCCTCCCCTCACAACCCATACACCCCAGGGCAGCTGTTGGGAATGATCATTTCATACCCTGCTCTGGTTATCTCTTGCTTGGACTACTGCAATGCGCTCTATGTGGGGCTACCTTTGAAGATGACCCAGAAACTACAACTATTCCAGAATGTGGCAGCTAGACTGGTGACTGGGAGTGGCTGCCGAGACCACATAACACCGGTCTTGAAAGACCTACACTGGCTCCCAGTGCGTTTCCAAGCACAGTTCAAAATGTTGGTGTTGACCTTTAAAGCCCTAAATGGCCTCGGTTCAGTATACCTGAAGGAGCATCTCCACCCCCATCGTTCTGCCCGGACACTGAGGTCCAGTGTTGAGGGCCTTCTGGCGGTTCCCTCGCTGCGAGAAGCGAAGTTACAGGGAATCAGGCAGAGGGCTTTCTCGGTAGTGGCACCCACCCTGTGGAACTCCCTCCCACCAGATGTCAAAGAGACAAACAACTACCAGACTTTTAGAAGACATCTGAAGGCAGCCTTGTTTAGGGAAGCTTTTAATGTTTGATGCATTACTGTATTTTAATATTTTGTTGGAAGCCGCCCAGAGTGGCTGGGGAAGCCCAGCCAGATGGGCGGGGTATAAATAATAATAATAATAATAATAATAATAATAATAATAATTATTATTATTATTATTATTATTATTATTATTATTATTATTAAAGCTATCAGGCAATGTTCCTTCTCCTTCCTGCCCCAAGCAGCCAAGATCAGGCTTGGCTAAGTTCGAAGCCCTGACAAAAATTCATTCCAGGCGGCAAATGTTGCTCTAATGAACTTAACTATTGACCTTTGATACACAGAAGTAAGCAGCCTAACTAGACGAGCCTCAGAGGCAACGCAGAGAGCGAGCCTTAAGTCTTTAGGGGAGAAGAAGGTCCCATTTATCTGCGTGAACCTTCCAGCTAATGCAGCACTTTATTTCCACGGCCATAAAATTGCTAATTCCTCTGGAGACGCTACTCAAAGATTGCATTGTGTAATACCGTACGGTTAGTTATTATTTAAATTTTTTTTCTTTTCTTTTACAAGGGATGAGAGCAGTCACCTTTGCATTTTCCCCCACCCCCCCTAGTTTAAATAGATTTGCACGAATAAGCAATACACATGTTCCGGATAAGGTGAATGTAATCACAGAGGCGCTGGTAGACCGAAAGTGTGTCTGGAATAAAGCACTGCTCTGTTAACAGGGCAGAAATTCGGCATGTTTATATACTATGCCTGGCCAATCTGGAGGCCTCATACTGTCTACCAATCAGAAGGGCCGATGTTGCACGCCCCCATTCCTGCCCCCCATGTAGCCAAGAGGGCCCAGAGGTCTGACTGCAAGTGCAGGGACGTGATTGGATATTTTTGTTGCCCGAAATGAGGGATGGAGAAGCCATGAATCTTCAGGCATCGTTGGACTCCAACTCCCATCAGCCTCAGCCAGCATGAGGAATGATCAGGGATGATGGGAGTTGTAGTCTAGCAACACCTGGACAAGAGCAGAGTATAACCTGCCGAGAAAATAACAGTTCGTCTTCCTGAGATCAGGCCTTTATGTGGGGGGGGGAGTCTTTATTGGGGGGGGGAATATTATCAGTCCCATAAGTCACACATTCCATGTCTAGTTCTGGACATAGCTGTCAACTTTTCCCCTTTTTAAAGGGAAATTCCCTTATTCCGAATAGGGTTCCTCGCAAGAAAAGGGAAAAGTTGACAGCTATGGTTCTGGGCCCCACAATTTAAGAAGGGTGTCGACAAGCTGGAAGGTGTGCAGAGGAGGGCGACCAAGATGATCAAGGGCAGGGGTAGGCAAACTAAGGCCCGGGGGCCGGATGCGGCCCAATCGCCTTCTGAATCCGGCCCACTGACGGTTCAGGAATCAGCGTGTTTTTACATGAGTAGAAAGTGTCCTTTTATTTAAAATGCATCTCTGGGTTATTTGTGGGGCCTGCCTGGTGTTTTTACATGAGTAGAAAGTGTCCTTTTATTTAAAATGCATCTCTGGGTTATTTGTGGGGCATAGGAATTCGTTCATATATTTTTTTCAAAATATAATCCAGCCCCACACAAGGTCTGAGGGACGTTGGACCGGCCCACAGCTGAAAAAGGTTGCTGACCCCTGATCAAGGGTCTGGAAACCTTGCCTTATTCGGAATGGTCGAGGGAGCTGGGTGTGTTTAGCTTGGAAAAGAGGAGACTGAGAGGAGATAGGAGAGCCATCTTCAAATATCTCACACGGAAGAGGGAGCAAGCCTGTTTTCTCCTGCTCTGGAGGGTAGGACTCGAACCCACGGCTTCAAGTTACAACAAGGGAGATTCCGATTCAACATTGGGGATAACTTTAGCTGTTTGACAGTGGGGAGATGGTGGGCTCTCCTTCCTTGGAGGTTTTAAGCAGAGGTTAGATGGCCGTCTATCATGGATGCTTCAGCTGAGATTCCTGCATTGCAGCAGGGGGTTGGACTAGATGACCCTCGGGTCCCTTCCAACTCCACCGTTCTATGTTCCTATGAATGGTTCCTGCTGTTGCACTTCTAGCAAGCCAGGCAAAGGGTGCAGCTCTGTCCTGCCCCATTGGTGCCCCTGCCCCACCTGTTTCTGACCCCCCCGCCTTCTTCTGCCCTACCAGTCGCAGTGGACACCAGCCACCACCCTAAATTAACTGATGCTATTCCCTGGTTGGAGCGAGAGTATCTTAGCGGCTGGGCCTGGCTCCCTCGCCAGTGTCTTCCCCCTTGAAGAACCAGCTGGGTGACAAGTTAATTAAATAGCTCATTTGTAATGGTTACATCTTGCTGGTTTGTTTAGGCCTTGTCATACAATCGGTCCCCTTCAGCCGGTAAATGATGCTATCTATTGATTCTATGTGCTGGTAACATTTACAGCCTTTTGTCATCCGCTGTTTCCTTGATGGATCTGCTGGTAGCTGCTAATGTCGGAGCCTGGATATAAATCCAGCCTTGTTGCTTGTTGGTTTTTTAAAATCCTCTTATACCCACGGTTTTGGCCGACACTTTTACTGCTGCTAAGGCAATCCCTTTGGAGAGCTCCTGTCACCTCGCAAATCCCAATTTGTAACCTTGTAATGTGTGGCGTGCACATACCTTCCAACATCTTGAAGGCGAAAACCAAGATGCCATGTTCCCAGATGCCATCTTTCTGTTTTGTAATTGCGAGAGAACGGCGGCCATTTTGGGCGCTGTGATCTCACGTGATTTCACACTGCGATATCCTCCTGGAAAAAACAGCAACTTTTTAGTGGGGTGGGGGAGAAATTGCGGAGTGAAATTATGGGAGATCACAATGCCCAATATGGCCGCCTTTCTCTCACGATAAAAAACAGGGTGTCCATGTTTTTCTGGGACACGGGATGTCCACATTTTTGGGGGTATGCATGTCTTGTTGTTGTTGTTTAGCCGTGTCCAACTCATCGTGACCCCATGGACCAGAGCACGCCAGGCACTCCTGTCTTCCACTGCCTCCCACGGTTTGGTCAAACTCATGCTGGTAGCTTCGAGAGCACTGTCCTGTTCAGTTTCTGTTAATTGGTTCTCGTGGGAAACTTACAGATTCTGGCTGCTCACAATTAACTCAAGGCAGTGTCAATTTACTCTTGGCAGAAAGCCCAGGTCTGCTTGACCTAGAAACTACTTACTCTGATTGGTTAACGACCAGCACTCAACTCTGTTATCTAGGATTGCTAGCTCAGTTTGATGTGAGGTGTTGTTAGGAGTAGAAGTGCTGTGTATGGTTTTGAGAGAGAGAAAGAGAGGATTTATTTTGCTTTGATTTGTATGCAGAAACTCTGCTGGTTTTATTTTTTCCTCTTTTAATAAATCCTGTAAATAGTTCTTCTGAGTCTAGCTGACTAGTCATTACCGCCGCAACTAGCTTCCTCGCTGTGCAGGAAAACTCTGCTACGTTTGGGCTAAAGCCAATAGGGCTATGCCTGACACTTCAAAGTTCCATGAGGTTATGGGCATTGTGCTGCCAGCCTGAGTTGCGGTGGTGTCAGCATCAACGGCGTTGGTTCCAGTAGTTCCAGAAGTTGTTGTTCCTGTTGGTGCAGCAGATGGACTCTGGCTGGTTCCTGACCGTGGTGAGCTGGTGACGCAGCGGACACAAGGACAACAGCTGCAGCGTGTGAGTGCTGGGTGCTGTGGTTCCTGTTTTCTCTCTCGGTGGTCGTGAGTAGCTGGTTCCGGGTTCCAGGGACATCGCTCTCAAGATGACCTCACAACCAGTTCAGATGGCTTTTGAGCGTCTGAATGACTCCAATTACTTGCTGTGGTCGGAACGCATGCAGGCAGTGCTGCAGAGGGATCGTCTCTGGCAAGTGGTGAGTAAGTTTCCTGTGAAGCCTGATGATGAAGACCTCGATAAAGACCAAAGAGCAAGGGCCACAATTGTCTTGGGGCTGGAAGATTCCCAGTTGCCGTATGTGAGGGGAATCAAGACAGCTAGAGGTGTGTGGCAAGCACTTAAAGAACTCCATGTGCGTGAGACAGCGGTTTCCAAGCTGTTCATTCGCAAGGCATTGTACAAGGCAATGTTACAGCCTGGGGTTACAATGCAGGAACACCTACATAGTTTACAGTTAAAGTTTACTGCGCTACAGGAAAGAGACTGTGCATTAGACCAGCAGGAGAAGGTGGCTATTATTTTGAGTTCTCTCCCGGAAAGCTGGGATAATTTAGTTTTGTCTCTAGAAGGCATGCAGGAGCATGATTTATCAGTCAGTTACGTTACTGGCGTTTGATTGAAGAATGGCAGAAGAGGCAAGAAAGGTCGTTGGCTGCAGAGGCTTCTACAGGTGGGCGGTTTGGAAGGAGTTCTCATGCCGTGCCAGAGGTGAAGCAAAAGCAGCGTACCGGTGAGGAGTCAGCGTTTTCTGTTAGGCGGTTGTTTCCGATGTGGGTCTTCAGCGCATCTAAAACGACAATGTCCGGAGTTGGTCAAGTCTCAGTTGCCGGTGCAGGAGCAGAGACGAGAGCAGCAGCAGCAGCGTAAAAAGAAATTCTTCAAACGAAAACAGTCGGCTCAGCTGGTGACCGGCGAGGTCAAGATTGCTGATGAGAAACAAGCGGTCTGGGTGGTCGATTCGGGAGCATCTCGCCACATCGTGAATTCAGATGAATTGTTTGTTTCCAAGAACTCAGCACAGCGCAGCCAGGTGGCTCTAGCAGACGGAAGTACTTCCGAAGTGATTTCGGGGGGTGCAGTTTTTGTTCCTTGTCTTCGTGAATGCCTGCAAAATGTACTTTGTGTGCCGTCATTAAGGAGCAATCTGATGTCTGTAGATTGTTTGCTAAAAGCTGGGTTTAAAGTGTATTTTGAAGGAGACAGTTGCATTATTAAGAAGGCTGGTGAGATTTTAGGCACTGCTAAGTCAGAGGGAGGCTTGTTTTGGCTTAAAGCAGGATCTCAAGTTGCAGCGGTAGTCAGTAAATCTCAGCCTGCAGTGAATAACAAAGCTATACATGACAACTGTGTGCACTTATTGGCATAGGAAAATGGGGCATGCTTGCTGGAAAAGTGTACTAAAAAATGTCTGAATTGGCTGATGGGGGTGATTTAAAGAGCTGTAACAAGTACCTTGATTGTAATGTGTGTAAAAAGGTTAAAACCCACAGAGTCTCTTACCCCAGAAGTGACAGAGTTAGTGAGTCACCGCTACAGCTGGTTCACATGGACGTAATTGGTCCATTTGCTGTAAGCAGGGGTGGATCGCGCTTTTCACTAACAATTGTGGATGACGCCACGCGTTACTCTTGGGTTTTTCCCATGAAAAATAAGGGTGACGTGTTCACTAAGTTTAAAGGCTGGGTGGCATCTGTGGAAAGATTTCTGTCCATTAAACTCAAAGGATTCAGACGGACAGAGGTGGCGAATTTATGTCAAATGCCTTTAAAGATTGGTTACAAAAGCGTGGGCATTGGGCATAGAAAAACGAACGTTTTTCCCCCAGAGGAGAATGGCGTTGCAGAGCGAAAAAAACAGATCTTTACCAAGATATGATGTTTGCTATGCTTGATGATGCTGATTTGCCCATGTCTTATTGGGGGGAGAGCATGCTCACCGCGTGTTATCTCCAAAACAGGCTCTTTCATCAAACAATAGGTACAACCCCGTACTTTAAATTGTTTCAGGAAAAAACCAAAATTTGACCATTTGCATGTGTTTTGGATCAAAAGCCTGGGTATTAATTCCGAAACAAATGAGGAAGAAGGGAGATCCTAAGACCAAACAGTTAGTGTTTGTGGGTTACCAGGAGCTGGGAAAAGGTTTCCGTTTTGCTGAAGGGACAAAATGGCATTTGTGATCTCCAGGAATGCCAGTTTTTGTGAACATAGTGGCTGGGAGAGACTACATGCCAATACTGAGGTTTGGTTTGAACTTCCCAGGAGCTTCATGACTCTGAAAGTAAGACACAGAGAATCAGAGTCTGAGGGGGAGGGAGTTCAGATAAGAGCTCTCAAGAAAGTGGAGTTAGCCAAAGACCAGTTGCTAAGCAACAAAGAGAGGTCGTAAGTTCCTGAGGAGGAAAGTGGGTCAGAAGAAAA